TTCTTGTTAAACTGTTGCTACTTGAGTTGGGGGGGGGTTATTGAAGTGCAAAATTTTAACCATGGAGGAAGTCGGGTGGAATCATAGACCACAGTTCCAGCTATCAATGGGTTCTTGATGTCAAATTCCGGTTCAGATTCTGACATCTTGGATCTTGAAAAAAATGGGGCAAAGAATCAGTTCACAAAATCTAAAATGCTTTATAAAAAAGTCTGCCCGAGAACACGACATGCCACACACTGAACAGGAAACTGTATGGGTAGGAATACAGAAATTTCAAGGAAACTCCAATTATGCTAAATTGGAACTATCTGAATTGCTCACACTTCTTTAGAAGGCAGTGCATTATTTCATAATGTACACATTAAAAACAAAATTAATTCATCACTTCCAATCAGTAAAAAAAAATGAAATCAGGAAAGATATTGTTGTAGTACAAGAACATGTACATAGAAAACAAGTTGCAGAGAATATGCAAAAGGTGCGTTGAACTGGGCTGGGGGGGGGTAGAGAAAAGCTGTGAAACTGACAGAATTGTCTAATCGATGATCTTGCCATCCTATCCCAGGGTGGAATTTGACCAAGATCCTCACTGGGTGTCAACTGGGTCAAAGAGGGCAAAATGTTAATCTACCGTCCCTGTTAAAATACTCTGTTCTGTCTGCTGCCGTAATTGAATAAGAGCCAAGTAGACTTATGAATGAACCTAGATGCTTTTGATACCGAGTTATAGATTTTCCAGCAGCCAGCAGTAACTGGTATGCGGCACAAAACTTGTATTTGTGATTTGCAGAGCAATATCCAACCGGTGCTTGTACTTAATAATATTTCTACCAGGATAGTGGAGGAAGGGGTTGAAGATGGTCACTACACACAGGAAACTGTGTTGGTTCATTTCTCAGACAAACCTTGGGCGTTTACATTGACTTCTGTCATGCATGTAGGAACCTAGGTAGGCACTAAGTATTTCTGGCAATGATTGGAACAGCTCCTTGAACAACAAGGCCTGAGGGTTTATTGATTCTAGGCCAGACGAAAGTAAACATTTAATTCGCAAAACTTCATTAGCCTCAAAATCCATTCAGGAGTGATTGCGTCTGTGTTCATAAAAAATTCACCAGTCACTGTAGCACACACTAGTAATAACTGAACTGTGGACCATGTTGAAGCATGCACATGTGTAGATGTACATGTATGTATGTACATGTAGGCCTAACACTTCATCACTTCGGGGAGAAAAAGAAAAAAAGGTGGATTTTTTTCTGCCAACTCGGGGCAATTACCTGTGGGTATCCCAGACGGAAAAATATTTTGAAATTTCCCCTGTCTTTATTTACATTTTATGGTAGCCCATGTTTCATCGCTTCCTGCCTGTTTGGAGTTGATGATGTATCTGAAGCTATAACAGATGATTAGGTTTAATCTCCGGTAAATAAATAGACAGATTTCAAAGCTGGATGATGGCAAGGACTCAAAAGTGGGTCCTTCCCCTGGCATAGGTCAGGCTTAGGTACATCAAAAAATTACCTCAGTGGAATGTTGGGTAGGGTTCCCTGGGGTCAGGAGTGCCAGGCAACTTGGCTAAGTGCCAATATGATACCAACTCTCTTTAGTGACACCCTTGGGGGATTTGTTTTTTCTTTATTACTAAAGATGAGAAACTTGAAGGTCTTTCTATTACAACCGACATATGATATAGGCGGGTCCTGCATAAAATTTTGGTGAATACAACATTTCCAACAGCAAGTTAAAAAAACAGAAACTTAATTGCTCCGATATTTTCAGAGCCACAGATGATGTGTAACTATAAAAACGGTATTATGCACATTTGCAGACCAGAAAACCTAGTGAAGTGATTTATTGATTTTCAGTCTACAATAAAAAAAAAACGAGTCAAGTTAACTAGTCAACAAAGAATAAGAAAAATTTCCGCAACTTCTGGGAAAAGGGCATGTCCCCTCTTCAGCTCAGAAAAATGAAATTGAAACTCCGACAAGTATGCCTGTGGTTTAGTCAACTTTTGGGGGGCTCAATGTGTGTCATCCATGCACCCCATCGTAATTGGTCCTGGGGTGCCCTTCTCATTCTAACTGCACAATAACTGGTCCTGTGCCAATACAAACAGACCATGAACTCAAGTGGGTACTTTTGGGAAGGTTATACGCCAGAAATAAGACACTCCACCATACAGCAATTTTTTATTTTGCGGTGATGAAAATCTTTAGAAGTGGCCAACTGTGGTTGCAGCAGGGACACAGAATATTTGACATTCTTCTGTTAGTCTGTTTTTGTTCTTTTGCCACTGAGGTGTGGATGGATAAGACACCTGAAATGGTACAACAGCACTATTGTCTTGGTGATAATGGAGTCATTGTTCACCAAATAAAAGGGTTTGTTATGCGCAAATGAAAACAAAACAGGCTGCACTTATGTTTCCAACAATAGCATTTTTCAGTCTAGTATCTGTGGCTGCCGTATCATATACATGTCCCCTCACCAAAAGTGCATTTCTGTTTAAGATATCCCTGTGATCACCTCTTTCTATTGCAAAATCTGATTTTGTTTAATGTCTTTCATGGAAACAACTTATCTAAAGCCCATTGGATCTTTTCACTTTTTAAAAAACAAATAAGCAGCCCCCTACAGGCAGCAGATGAAAAGTACTGGCTTCTGATAACATTTAGCAGCCAAGCAGTTGCAAGGTTAAAGTAACCACAGAGTACATGAACAGTATGCCAGAGACATTATCTCACAGAACAGAACAGTGTATCATATCTTTTGTGCTTAACTTAAAAGTGGATGAAGTAATCTTCATTTTGGTTGAGGTCCCGTCCCCTCCCCCCACAGAATCCCACAGAGTCCCTTGTAAACAAACAAAATATTGCAAGATGAATTTCATTTCTTAACTACTTTCCTTTCAATTCTGCAGAATTTTGCTGGCAAAGACACTATGTCTCCACCCACGGAACTGGGCCCGGCAGGACTGGTAATTCTCAACCGTTAAGGGCGATACGGAATCCGATACTGGAATCACCCAGGGCGGTTTATGAGCTTGAATTTCATAATTTCATCGGATTTTTCTCGCTTTCCCAAGCGCTGAAGGTGCACGGGTGGGTAACAGTCTGTTTGGGTTCTCTTTCACGGCTAGAGTAACTAAGGTCCCATGCGGAAGATTTCTGGAATTTCTGTGGGAAACTACTGACATGGTTCGCCACAAGCCTCAAAAATTTCACTTTCAATTTTCTCCGCGCTGGATATATTTTCCCATGCACGAATGATATGACAGTCGAATTGCGGAAAGTACATGTACTTGCATTTTATTTTGATCATGAGGAAACCAGCCTTAGATCATATTTCACATAATCCAAAATGTGTTGACTAGCAACTTTCATAAATATGCAACCCACATGTTGTACATGTATACTGCCATTTCCACTGGTTTCTGACGATTAATTTCTCCAATGAAAATACATCCATGTGTATTAGTTACCAGCGAAGATAGACATTACATGACCAGAGGCAGGAAAACCAAAAAAGGTAATTCTACATGGAGTTTCATAACATGAACAGCATTTAAATACACAAAGAATAACAGTAAAACTATCTGTGGCACTGGCCCCCCTCATGTTTTGTCTTTTGACCTCTTGGCAGCTGCTGTTTTACACTTCTCTTTCCCCCAAAAGACACCAGCCACAGATGATCCCAAAAGACAACTCTCCCCTCAATCCAAAATTTATTCACCTGTATTCTCTCTTAATTCTTCCTTTTCCCTTCTCATCAGTGACCACTTCTAGTTTGGGACCGACCCCCGACATCGCATAGAAAGAGCTGAGATAACATAACAGATGCACTGAGAGGGGGACGGATTATGATTACGGTTTGTGGCAATCAGCAGGTGAAATTCTTGAGGTATTCCCCTGCTGTGTTCTTCAATGACCTGGACACTTGGCTGGACATCAACATGATTACCCTGGGTTCGGTGAATGGCCACACATAATCCCAGCACACATTAAATTGGCTGTTACATTGATAAAGCAACTGCACTTAGGAGTGCTTGTCGTCAGGAATAATAAACACTGACAATATCAACTCAGGAAGCATATCTCAGGGCAAATTTCTCACAGAAAAAATTCTTCAGTATTTTGAAACATAAGATTGGGAAAAAAAGACAACCTGATAACATTTGGAAGAAAGAATTAAAGATGGATTATTTCTGATCCATACGATTTCAAGGAATTCAGCTCCACATGCTTTTATGTGTACTCCAGTTAGGGAAGAGAGAAAAATTCTACTGGAAAAACAAAGTTTGGAACCATCACTGATTATTTAGTGGGCAAGAAAACTTAACCATAAAGATCGTTTCAGAAAACATGTTACATGTAATGGAACTTTCCACACTAAATGGTTCCAAATAAATGTAAAGATCGACAAGATCAATTTCAAGGGGGTCATAAATGGTACTATTCCCTGGTTTGGGCCATGTGCTGGAGTTAACGTTATTGATGCAATTTTCCATTCAGCAGGAATTTTGTGGAGCAGTGCTCACCCAAGAACCACCCACTGGCAAAGGGTGCTGTGTACGATTTTGGCCACAGGCTATGCAACATACCGCAAAACCAGTCCTTCAAAGCAACCCATTTCGAGGGCAAATAATGACAAATTTTGCCCCCAACTGTTTTCCCTTGGTTCCATCTAGAAACGTATTGCCCAACGTTCCCTGAAATGTGTCAGATTTTATCAAACCCTGACAGGAAATGCTACATTTCAGAGTCCCACACTGAGCCTAACTTCACGCCTCGCCTATTTTCCAAAGTGCTCCTGCACTCTACTACTTCCAGTGGAAATTTTTGACAAACTTTGACTGAAAATGTCAAACTGAAAAAAAGTCTCACAATCACTATAAAAAAAGAGAAATTGTTTGAGAGTCACACAAACAGATCTAATATCCATTTAAATGACTATTTGAAAATTCTACTAGAGAAATTGAAACTTTGACTTACTTGGTTGTGGATTTAACTCAAAGCTTGGTTGTCCATAAATGTCCGCTTCAGCGGTTCCTTCAAGGTTGCCATCGATGTCAATCTTGCAAGCTTTCAATGGCCTTTTCTCTGTCTCTGTGCCCAACCTCTCAGCACTGCCTCCTGATCGTGTCCTGTGTTTCCCCTTGCTAGAGGATTTCCCCAGCTTCCATCTACCCTTCTTGGACTTCTTCCCAACTGGCTTCTTGGCATGTGCCCCAGCCTCCGGATCGGTGGGGGAGGTGGCTCTAGGTTCCACTGGGTGCTCAAGTTCAACAGCTCGCCTGTCCAGGGACTTGGATCGTTGGGGTGAGAGCTTGAGGTGAAGCTTAGGGAGGCCAAGAGAAGTCAAGAGGCCGCCTTTCTTCTTTGAGAGTTCACCGGCATTTGTCTGTGAGTTGTGGGATGATGCAGACTTGGCCGAAGAGTGGGATGAGGTGCTCTGCTTGCGATGTGCACTGGGGGTTTCCACTGAGATGTTGACATCCAGGGCTTCAGGCTGAGGAGATGCTGAGGTCATCTCTAGGTTATGCTCCTCAGCAGACTTCATGGCCATATCTGGCACCTTTGGCGTGTACATCACAGTGTCATCGGCTGCTTCCTTTTCCTCATCTCTCGGTATCTTCTCTTCTGTGTCACTGTGAGTAGACCCATCTTCACTCACGACCACGCCCAGTGACAATCCACCCTTGATATCAGTGAATCTGTACTTTGGTACAGTCACTTGCACCTTGGGACACACCTCGTCTTCCCAGTTCAGGTCTAGGGAACTGGCTGGATCCTCCTGGCTCGGTGTGCCAGCGCGGCACTCGCAGAGATCCTTATCAGCATCACCATTTGGATAACTGGGGCTTACTTGCGCCCCAAAAGATATATCAGCCAAACGGACACCGAGATCATGCAGGCCTGACAGACTGCAGTCCTGTTCAAGTTCATTAGCATTGGCACTGAATTCTGGTGGGATTTCATCATCAAAATCAAGCTTAGCCCTCACATCATCTTTGGCAGTGTTAATGGGATCCTCTCCTTTTCCTGCAAGGCCTCCAAATCTCATTTCCAAGTCTACTCCTATGTCTTCTTCAGGCTTCACGAAAGATGCTTTCAATTCACTTTCAAGAACCGGCTGAGGGACCACTTCAACTGAATCATTTGTTGCAATGACAGAGACTTGCTGAAAACCTCTCTCCTGTTCGTCATCATCACTGGCAACTCCACATTCAACACCACATGCCTCATTACTGGGTGGGGCAACCGTCTTGGACTTCTTTGATGAGGATTTCTTTGTTGCGGGGTGCAATCCACCAAACTTCGGCAGAGAGAAATTCAAATGAGACAGCTTGAACCTGTGCCTGGTTGGCGAATTTACTGGATCAGGGGACTTTGATTGCCTGTGACTCATGTCAGGAATCATACCCTCCACCTCCGTTGATAAATCAGCTGTTTTGACTTGATTTTCCAAAGAAGCATCTCTGCTTCCTGCTGACAATTCAAGTCCTGCTGACAGCTCAACATCCACGGCTTCTCCCTCCCCAACTGCCTTCAAATCCAAAGTACCGTCAGAGCCTTCTTCCATCATGACATCTCCCTCTACCTTGACTCCTGCAACTTCAGGCAAATCACTCTTAAAGTCATCATCAACTGGTACATCTGCGCTGCATGATCCACTTAGACAGAGGTTTACATCAATTGGAGACTGCAAATCCTCTACTTTTTCTCCATCAACCTCAACATCATTCTTGTCATTGCATGGGGGATCAACCTCTACCTCAGTCATACCACCTGATGATAAAGACACTCCTGGTCCAACTGAAATGTCAGCTTTTTCACTATGAACTGCTGGACTCTCTGTTTGTATGACATCAATATTACCATCTACATGTACAGGTATGTTTGCTTTAGCTTCTGGAGAACCATCCTGATCTCTAGTTGCTGAATTAGTCTCTGGTTTCGCTTCAACCTCAGGCTGAATGCCAACCACTGATGGTACATTGACGTCCAATCCCCAAGCCTGCAATTTGGAGTTATCATCTGCTTCTAAATTGGCCTCCAGATTAGCAGTCACTGCAGGCTTAATCTCTTCACTACTGAGACTTGGAACACCCTCATCAAGGTCTGAATCACCTTCTACGAAAGCAGGAACAGCAACAAAGAGTCCATCAACTTGGGGTTTACCACAAGCAGTGCTGACATCAATGCTAACTTCTTTTCCTGAAAAGTCGGCAATACCATCTAGGGCAGTCAGTGCTTCTACCTCAACAGCGCCAAAAGAAGAATGCTGCACTTCAGGAATGGCTATCTCTTGACTACACGTAGATGACATCTTTACTTCCAGATCATTCTCAGCTAAGATCTCTGCTTCACAAGACTTAACAGGAGAGATACATGTACTTGCCTCAATTTGCACCTCATCCTCCAACGCAGGATTACCTTCTATAGCAGGTGGCTTGGCAGTGACTTCAGCACTGGGAAAAATAACCTTATCTGCAGATGGGGATTTGGGAGACTTCTTGCCACTGAACCTTGGAAGGTGAAGATGCATGTTGGGAAGTGTGAAAGATTTCTTCTTGGACCTCTTGAGTTCTAACTCTCGCTGAGAAACATCTGGAACAGAGGGTGCCCTGTTGTCAAGGACACACTCATCGTAGCCTGCAGCTGACCTCCTCCTGCTTATATCCAACTCAGATGAAGCTTTTGATACACGTGAACTTTCTGCCTGAATCTTATCGCATGTCTCCCTCTCTTTGTCAATACTGAAGCTGATTTTACCCTCGCCAACACTGGGTTGGTTGCTCTTTGTTGCGACATCCAACTTGCCGGAGCGCTTCCCTCGAAACCTTGGCAGGTGGAAATTGAAGCCTGAGAAGAAACCCTTAGATTTGGTTTTCTGTTTCACTTCAGGCACTGGCTTAGAAGGCACTTCCTCAGTGGTATCTACAGACCCTTCTTCGTTCATCACAACTTGGATCCTCTTTTCTCCCTCAGCATCAGAATCTGATGAGAGCTCCTTCAAGTGAAGTTGAATCTCAGGAACAGTTGAGGAGGGAACTTCCACAGAAGTTGAGTCATCAGGTCCTGGAAGCAACTCCCCAACAGACAGCTGAACTGATCTGGGACCTACAGCAGGAGCACTGAGTCCTTCAGCATCAGGGACCTTGGTGATGTCCTCAACTTCTACAACTTCACTTGGCTGGGTTGCAGCCTGGATCTTGATATTGGGAGTAGCCTCATCCTCAATGGAGGCAACTCCTTGAATGACAATCTCTCCAGATGTTCCCTTGGCACTGCTCTCTGATGAGGAGGAAGACATAGAAGATGAGATACTCCTTTTGTCATCATCCTCAGATACTTCCTGCTTACACTTCAGGTCTAAAGTAATCACACTGTTTCCATCAATCCCAACAACCTTCTGATGATCCTCATTTTCATCCCCATCATTTTCCCATGTCATCTGACACCCTACATCAACAGGACCAGATTCCATATCATTTGCAAGTGGATCACTCAAGCACACTTCAAAATGACCTTCAGCCTCAACATTCAAGGCCTCCTCATCCCCTCCAGTATCCAACTTCAATCCTTCCACCTTCCCTACATCCTTCTGTGAATCTCTTTCTGTTTCATCTCTAGCATCCACAGTCAATCCTTTTGCTTCTCCTGCGTCCAGCTGTGCATCTCTGTCCTCTTCTTCCTCAAAAGCATCAATGGTCTTAGTGAATTCACTCAGCATCTCTGGGGTGAACTGGACATCCCCTACAGAATCGTCTGCCACTAGCTGGTTGCACTCTGCGAGGATCTTTTCAGGAGCTGCAAGCTCCCCTGTGACACCATCTTGAAGAGGACTCCGAACTTTAGCATCTTCTTCCACGGCCTCACCCACCTCAAAGGACTCGGTGGTGAGGATGAAGTCGGAGGGAGAAGAAACATGATGGGTTGACGATACATTGACCTCCAGGCTTGCCGACATTTCAATGTTACCTATACAAGAATAAAATTGCTTTTTAGTTCTCCAACAAATACATGTACTGTACCTGTAGAACTGCAAGAAAAGCAGAAAAAGTAAGTTAAAGTGAGGAAAACAGCTCTAATTTCCCTCCCCCCACCCCTCCTGGCTTCAACCTATTTGATGGGCAACCCTCATATTCTAAATTAAGCTCTTCATGGGCTAAACCATACCAGATGGGCCAATTAAAGACCCCCAATAGACTTCCTGTACATGTATACCATCATCCTGGTTGACATTCAATGAATTCAATTTAATGTTGAAGGCAATGGGTAGGCCAAAGTGAATCAATGGGACATGCTAATTAACACTGATCAATGGAAATCAATATTCCTCAGAGAGTGGCCAGACATGTACAAGTCATACATTTACCGTATATAGTGCATATTGATTTCTACAACTTCACGTAAGATCTCATAAAATCACATCTAATATAACAAAGACTGTATCAAGTTTGGACTACATGTACAAGAACATGCGGTGTTGCAGAGTGTATTGAAACAGTTTTCAAATATTAATAATCGAAATTTAGGAAATTTCCCCACAAAGTTTCTGACTGGCTTTAATACAGAAAACAGTGTTATACATACAGTAAGGTAGTCGAAAATTCCAGATTTTAAATCAGATTACTTAGAATTTTTTTCAAAAATAAACGCATTCAAACTCACAAAACTATAGTTACAACTCCAATAAAATTCTAAGCCTTTGATTTCTGCAAGAGCAACATTGTCTGATTTCATTTCTTTTGGCCCTATTTTGACAAAATAATCATTACAGCATGATATAATTTTCTACGGGTGCCTTATATATGGGGACAAAGCTTTCATAAAGTTGCAACTCAGTGAATAACATCCAGATAGAAACCAATTTAACTTTTAGGCAAAAGAAGTGTCACACTTGACTTGTCATCAGTAATTAAATCAAAACAGTATACATGTAATGTAAGCTAATTTCTAAAGTTCTATTTTATCCACTGGCCAAACACTTTCACATTCAGAATCACTGGATAACATAACATGTTTCTAAAGTAAAGAACCCTATTGTATCTGCCAGAAATTCATGCATGTTTTCCATCAAATAGCTATCAGTATTTTTTATAAACCAAACCCAGGTGGGGGTGGGGAGCATAACCATATCAAACTTGGAGGTCAATTTCAGCAAATCCTCTGTTTACACTGTCTCAAATCACTTAAAAACAAACATTTATCATCCCCACTTTGTTATTGACCGGTGGCAAGTTTTGACGGAGCAGCAGATCAACTGTAAATTGGATTGGGAAGAGAAAACCAACACAAGGGCTTTGTAGCCAACAATATCTGTATTTACCGCACGCCTTTACCGTGGTGCTGTTTTCCACTTACATAAGGAAACAAATGCAGTTCTGACCAGTTCCTTCCCAGTAAACTTGGTTTGAGTATGATAGAACGAATTTATGTAAATACGACACGTACATAGGCCTACACATTACAACAGTTTTTACTAACGATATCGACAAAATGTTGCCATTAGTAGCTACTGTACACAAAATAGTTTGTTAAACCTGTTCAGCTGAGATACATTCTGAATTTAGCAGCTCAGCCTTTCAGAACAACGACCAGAATTGAAAATAGATGTTTGTTGGGCTGTTTTTCAATGTACTGACCACACACACATACTCGTACAAATTTATGTCACCGGAACATAGAGTTTTGAAATGTTCAAATAATTCCCACGAAATGTGGGACTACCACTGACAATTTTCAGGACTGAAGAAAATCTTCGGCTTCAACACTTGAACAACATGACACGAACAACATGGTCATGACCAACCTTTTGTTTGAAATGTTGCCCAAAATGGTCCACCACCTGAGGTAGATAACTTAGTATGTTGTGTCTACATGTGTATCAAAAGTCTAATCTGTTTGACTGACTAATGGAAAACAAGTCCTTGGGAACCAGATCAGAGATAACATGATTTTCTTCTTAAAAAAGGGCCGAAAGCTCTTCGCAAGCATGAGTCAAACGTAAATTTTCCAACCCCCAATATGTAATGATAAATGATCTGACAGAAAAACAACTGCATTAAATACAGAGCCCATTGTAAACAACAAGCAATTAACAATGATTCATAGGAGAAGTTTAATAATTGTCGTGACTGACCAACAGATTATAGGAGTTTCATCTTATCAGTAAATAGTAAAAAAAAAGCCTACCTTTCAGATTCAACCCAGTAGGAACTGCAATGGACTCTTCATCTTGGGCATCAGCAGTGTCATCTTCAGGAAGGCCTGTCTGCTCATCATCCCGTTGCAAGTCCTCCTCCTGCATATCCTTGGCATCTTCTCTTCCATCACTGGCAAGCTCCGGGCTCTCACCATAGCTATGATCCTGCAAGCCGGAAAGGGTCAGCAAAGGCTCAGCTCTGACGTTTGTGGACGTCTCCATCTCACCTACTAGTTCTTCCTCTTGAAGCTCTTCTACTGCCTGGGTCTTGACTTCATTTCCGTCTCCTGCTTGAACTTCATTTGATGTTCCTCTTGTCTCCTCCTCATCATCAGATCTAGGATCCTGTGGGTCTTCTTCACCATCATGCTCTGGTGGGCCACCTTCTTGTCCTGCATCCTCAATTTCACAAGATACTACTCCTGTCGCCACTTTTTCATCAGATGGCAACACCACTCGGTCATCACCTCTCCTCTCTGGATGGTCAACAGTCATTGATGGGACACCTGGGAGACAAGAAGTATTGTCCATTTTGAAGTCCACTTGGGCCTCTTCCTTTGATGAGTGGTTCTTCTCCTCAGCCCCCAAAGCTTCTATCTTTCCTGCATCAGCATCTTTAAGTATTTTTTCTTCGGTGGATCCGCAGCTCAAAGATGTGGGAGAAACAGCAGCTTTCTTGGGGTTCTTCTTCTTCCAAGAGAATTTTTTGCTGGGAGAGCTAGGCCGGTCAGAATCAGAGGACTGCTCAGGAGACTTCACCAATCGATGGTGCCTCTTGCCAAAAGACGGCAGGGTGACATTCAGGAGGGGCACTCGACGTTTGGATTTCTTCTTGGGTGAGAGCTCCGGGGTGCCTGTAAGACTAGGGCTGTCAGTGTCAAAGCTGGACTGGTTGGAGCTAGAGAGGACGGAACCCTCCAGATTCTGTTCTGAGTCCAAGACGTCATCAGGTATCACATTCGGCCTTTGTAGGAGTTCGTCAGTCTTGGCAGAGTCTTCAACGACTTTGGATGGCATGTCCACAGTCTCCCTGTAGGTCCCAAGACTGGTCTCTGTGTCCAGGTTGCTGTCGTCTCCACCGAGGGTGCTGCTGTCTCCTTGTCGGGTGGTGGAGGAGTCCTCTCGCTGGCCATCAGAAATCTCGCTGTTACAGGGGTCCGTGCTCGAGCCCAGGCTGCTCTGTGGCAGGGTGTAGAAATCATCGCCAGAGGCCAGAGAAGAACTAGGGATGGAGGATGGCTCATTGTCTGTTGGACCTATTGGAAAATGTTCCATAAAGTACAAATAAGAACGGCTACACTGCATACTTTCCATCAAATCTCACACAAAAACTTTCAATAAATCAAAGCTATCATTTGGGATTTGGTCATTATTTATTCAATGGAATTTAAAACAATTTTGATAAAATTTTAAAAGATGTTTTGATAGAGCATACAATTTTCCAGTTCAAAATTTTCTTTTTATTCCAAAAACTATAAATTCCTTTTCAACTTCTTTATATTTATACAATGAAATTTTTCAAAATTTACATATTGAAAAAAATTTCTATATCTCAATTCATGTTTAATATCCCTTTCTGCTTTGCTTCAAGAGAATCCCATGATTTCCTTTTCACATTCCACTCAGGCAGAAAATTGGGAGATTTTATAAAAATGACATAGAGACAAAGATTTAAAAAGTAGTTCATAGGCTGTTCGTAAATCACAAAAACTTATGATTCTGAACTTGGGAGTTGGGACATCCCCCCCCCTGGGCATGGCAAGGTGACAGCTGATTTATCACCCAACAAAAGCAGCAAGGTTTCCCCAAGAATGTGAATAGGTCGCCTGGTAATGTTGCCGGGTAACGACTTCACTGATACTCATAATTGTTTGAGATCTGTTCCACTGATGTCTTGTAGTCTGAGCACAGAACAAGGTCATGGTCTAAGGTACAGCGTACTTCAAAATGCCACCATCAGGCTTGTAATGCAGTGTCCTCTGGCCAATATGAAATTTCACAGGCCGTATGATTATTTGTGTGAAATATGCAGGAAACGTAATTTCCTCCGTACAGAATCAAACGTTTGGACCAAACAGACCACTGTTTCTTTTCTTGTTTTGATTTGTGCGTTTTCACCAAGCAACACAGAGCATGTCATGAAGTCATCAGCCGGCTTATCAAACCAGCAGAGTGGTTCTGTAAGAAACAAGGGAAGTCATTGGATATTTAACTCTTTTAGCTCCCCAACCCTCAGTATGTACTGCAGGTGTACATGTACATGAAGGCTATGTCAATACTAAGTGAAAGTGAATACAAGAAAAGGGAAAACACTCCAGGATATAATCACAACTCAGTATCTGTCCAGACTATTGAATCAGTACATGTTCATGTACAAATGTCCGTGTATTGTAAAAACACCTAATCTTCCTTAAGGTGAGTATTGAGTTTGCCTATGGGTGCATCTACTGGTGGACTCGGCCCCACACATGCACAGCACAGCCCATACTCAAAACCCGAGCGAGGTAACCAGGATTTTTCTGACAAGCACAGTGCCCCCAAAGAATTTTCCTCCAAAACACAAACACCCGGGCAGGATCTTGGGGTCAAGGGGATCAGTGCCACTTTGACCTGTGACCCCCCAGAAGACACAGGGAGAATGTCAGAGAGGTCTTTGGGGCTCTCAACAGGTTCTCCAGATGTGGCGAGGTGCTAAGAATTTAGCGCTAGATCCAATTACATCATTTTTTCTTTTGTTAAACGTGGTCCAATTCAAGACAATTGATCCCAATAAAGCACTACAGTACAGTAAAGCATTCTTGATTACAAATGGACCAGTGACTGCTGTTTTGTGTTAAAATCAAGTGCTGGACCAGTTATTTCTAAAAGGAAAAACACAACACCAATAGTGTTAAATTATTGACCAAACAACTAACTATTACCACGTACCAAAATAATTAAATGCCACAAATAGAAAAACAATAATAGTGTAATACAACACTGCATCAAATTTAAGAATTTGGAAGCATTTTGAAAATTCAACTGGAAGGCAAGCACCATCCATGATCCTACTGTATATGTAACTGGCATCCTTCATCCAGGCATGCACTGACGTTTAGTCTCGTTCACCTTTTCATTTTGACCAATATCCAGCCAACGCCTAGCCACACCCAGCCCATTCTTGAAAACTATTAAACCAACTTTAATTTGGACTGCAAATAACAATTCATCCCCAAAGCATTTTTTCCTGGTCACTGCAGTGCAGACATTTTAGCTGCTGGGCAATTTGGCATGAATTTCCATGCCAGGGTGTGATTACTTTCCAATTAGGGTAGCACATTATCCCACAGCTGATTGGGTAGCAGGTTGGTTGCTTGGGGCCAAACCTGCAAATAGCACACCCTTGTAAATTCCTGCAGACTTGCCCTGTGTCCTTGATCAGATCATGGCTCCTCCACTACACTGGGAGTCCTCAAAAAAGATGAAGACATCTTTTTTGGTGCTCAAGCCCCCTACAGAACAATTTTACTGTGTTGCTACTGATCTTAAATGACACCCAGAGGAATATGACATTCACTTTGAAAATGAAAAGAAAACAATAAATCATTCGCACAAACAACATGTACGTGTATGTATTTAGCAAGATTTTCGTTGGATAAATGACCTTTTGCTTGGAATAAGGATTTTTAATTTGGGCCTGCTGGTATCTTGAGGAAGACCAGCCCTAAAGCCCATGACCTTGGGGCATTGATCTCATTAATGTTAGGGCTCAGGGCTGGAGCTAGGACCAGCGATGAGCTAATTTTTGGACATCAGAAGCAGTCCAGGGCTTCTTGTGTGTCCTTGGTATCAGAGGAAAGCCACATGCCAATTCTGGCCTGAAGAAAAAGGAAATGTGGACATACTTGTAAAGTACTCTAAACCACAAACCAAAGCCCTTTTGTTTCCTCAAGAGTCTTACCTTGCCATAAAAAATTCCCATTTTCCCATGACATCAATTAAAACAAAACACCCTGATCTATGAATGGACAACTTATGGGTGATACAACAAACCATTGTTACTGCAGTCACTTAAGAGGCAAAGTTGCAATGCCCATGATGATAATAACTGACATCAATTTACATGTGAGGATGGATGGAAGAGGCTCATATAACAGACCATAGGACAGACAAGAACCAGGCTTCTGAGAGTCTCAGCAACATCCAGGGCAAGGAAATACTTTGCAAAGGACTTAGAGTAGTGTGTCCTTCATAATACTAGAATTAGTAGAAAACTGTTATTCTAGGAAAAATTACAATACATTCAAACATTGGAAAATGTATTCCCTGGCTGGATTTCATTCTCACTGTGTTCAGTTTACTTGTCCTTGAAAATTTTTCCACAGTTAAATTTATGGAAAGTTGGACTAGAAAATAAAAATCTAATACATTCAATTTGTTTTCCTCTTTCCTGTCACGAAAAGAAAACTCAATAGTCTGGTTATGCGATGGGTTTAATGTAAATTTACCAAGAAGGAAAGACAACACATCATAGATAAGTTGTAGTTACCAGCACACTCGGGGGAGGAATGCCCACACGTTTTCACAAAGCTGACACAAAGTCCCATGACTTATGGTATTCTTATCCAGAAGCTGCATGCAATGTTAACTCTCAGCTCCACAGGTCCAGCAATAATTAAGGTATAGGTAATAGTGCCTCTTTCACAACGCTGGTGAACAGAAAACTCCGGATTTTGTCAAAGAAACACCAGAGGAACGGACAGCAGTTGGCAGTTTTGTTGGAGTGCGTAACCAAGTGTTTGGCATGGCCACTGAAGCTAGGATTTTTCATCTAAAAAAGATGGTGCGGAGGGAGGCCAATTGTGGAGCAATTACCTTAAATCAATGGAATGTGTCTTCCCAAATGCACAACACCTCCACAGGGGGGTAAAACCTAATTCCGACTATGCCCTTTTGACATTTGAGGTACTGCCATACAATAAAAACCTATCAATTCAATTAATTGTGAACTTTACAGACTGGCACGACTGGGTCTAGTATCACATCCTCTTGTCATTGGCAATTTATTTGTACTTGGTAGCAGTGCTGTTAATAGGTCTATCATCTATGGATATTACTTGTATGTCCCTCTATGGTGTATGCTTGATGTAACTTTACGTGAAAAAAAAAACAGACAGGCTAGACACAGAACTGCCATGAAGGCAGTGGTGGATTTTATGTGATGGCATTTAAAACTTGGTTACTTTGCAATATTGTACCGTACGTGCTTAATTTTACCCCAACTTACAAAGTCATTTGTACATGTAGGCTAACATGTACTTTGCCCCTTCGGTAATGTTGGTTTGTGAAAGTTTTCACATTTAAAAAAAATAACACCTTCTGCCTACCTGAAGTAATCTTTGCTGCATCACCGCACTTAGCCCCCTCTTCATCTCTGTCCTTCCCAGTAACCTTGGCAACTGCATCTTCAGTGTTGAAAATCTCCTCCTTGGGCTCAGGGTCTGCTGTGTGCCCTGTGTGTTGGCCTGCTGCATCCTCCTCGGGCCTCATGTCCATCTGATCCGGCTGTTTTTCTGCTGGACTTGCCACAACCCTGGCAACCGTATTCTCAGTTACTATCGCAACATCTATATTTTCATCATGGCCTGACCCTTGCATTTCTTTGGGGTCTTTGTCGAAGTCACCCTTGTCATGTTTGTCTTGCTCAAAGTCTGGTATCTGGCAACTCTCTTCTACTGCTGCATCCTCCTCATTAGCAACATGCACCTTGGCAGCATCTCCATCCTCATCTTCCTCCTGCTTCCTGTGCTTGTCCCGTTTCCTGGTCTTCTTGGAATGCTTCTCTGGGGAGCTTTCTGGGTCGCTGGAAGTCGAACCCTCTCCACCTTTGGCACCGTGTCCCCTCTTCATACCAAACTTTGGCAGATGGAGGTGTAAGAGGCCTCCCTTTTTCTTTGATTTCTGTTTCACAGCCCCAACCTCTTCCTGCTCCTCTTCTTGAGGAGATGAACTGTTATTGTACATTGAGTGGTCCTGTTTGTTAGCTTCGGTGGCAACGGAGTCCTCAAAAGCCTTTGGTGCTTTGTCTTCTGAATCAAAATCTCCACCATCCCTATGATCAGACTTGGAGGAGATGTAAGATTTCTCCAAATTATTAGCATCCTGGCAGACACAACTGTCAAGCTCCAAGTCCTCGGCACTTGACTTGCTGCCATCACCAAGATCAATGTTGTTACCATTTTCAATCAAATTACCTCTCTCTCCTTCCAAATTTCTCGACTTAAATTCACTGTCACCACTAAGAGAGGGCTGTTCCTGATCCTTTGACTGAATGTCACTTTTCTGGTCAGAGGCAGCATCTTGGTTAGCATTTTTGTCGGTGATTTTTAACGACTCTTGCTCAGAACACAATGGATCACCAGCAGCAGTGCACGCAGGCTGCTGCACCCGAAGCGGGCGGTACTTCCCGGGCGTACCCGCGCTACAGTCCCCTGCTGCTGACAGGTCTGATACGACGTTCGAGTTCACTTCATACTTTCCACTCCCGGAGCCTGTCGACAAAGCATTGATTTCAACTGTAGCCGACATTTTCCTTGCTGCTGTGTTCTAACTGTGATGCGTCATGAAGAGTTTGTATGGTAAATAAACTGGATAGTTGTCAGATTTGCGTCAGAAAATGTCAGAAATAGGGCTCTTCTGAACTAAGTGAATGGCCCGGTGCTTGTCAACCGCCTGGAGCCGCACGTGCGGATTACGTTTGTAGCACACAGATTGTGTGTACCAAAAACACTTAAACTATCCCGCTCCTAACAACGAGATGGGGGCGCGGGGTTGCGACTGTGTGACAGGCATGAACTGCACGTATGTATATATAAAAAGTTTGGCGGCATAACCAGCTGTTCGTTTTATTGATGGCACTCCCTGTTTCAGTCCGGACGTCCAAGGAGCTGTGGCGCCAGAAAACACCCTTAAAAGATTCAGTTTTGCAGAGTTTTTTTTCAATCTCTACCATAGGATTATATTTATCTGGGTACGAGGCATTGTAGTTTTATCAATATCTGGGAAAACTGGGCAAGCCTTGAAGAAATCGCACCACCAAAATAGTAGAGGGCGCTATTTACAATGTTTATGTAGAGACTGTTTTCCAAGTACAGTACGCGCGAAATGCCAACTTCAAGATTTCCCCCATGTGTTAAAAAAAGCGCACAACCATACACTGCGCACTCACTAAAAAAAACACAAAATAAGGAGCATAACTTTTGAAGTTTGGAGAATAGAATTAAGAGAAGCACGCAAAAGAAGAAGAAAAAAATAAAATAAGGTCCCGTTCGCACACGACAAACGGCCGCCCAAAAACGCACACGCTGACACTTTCTCTTCTGGATACAGCCTACTTTATTACCCTTCAAGCCTTCCAATCAGCAAGCTTAAACTTCCAATTCAAAAAGCTTTACAATCATTATCTAAAATACCTCTATATATCAACTATAGACGGAATAATCTCTCCCTCTATGGGGTTACATCCAGGAATGGCTCCTTTTCACCTAATTACACGTATATAAATTTCAAGCTCTGTTACCATGGTAACAGGATACCAGGGGTCAGAGACAGATCAGGCAGAAAAACTGCAAATAGTTGCGATCCGACTTAAACTAGCAAAATCGAGGCTTGTAAATAACTCAATCAAAATGCAAATGCAAAATTCATTTCAGAATTCGGCAGTCGTTTGACCGAACTCTGAAGACTAGCTCCAAGTCTGTCAATGTGTGCATTTTTTCTCCAGTAAAGCAATAAACAGTATAAGTGAACGATTTTGAAGGGTTCAGCATTTAAATCAATAAACTGTTTTTAGATTCGGGTGCTTTGTTCCATAGTTTAAACTATGGAGAAAACAATATTTCTTACCGTGATTTGTATTGAGGGTGGATGCTGAATATTTCATGACATGCATTTGGTAATATGCATCTGGTTATAAATACACTACTAGCAACAAGTTGTATATCAGCTAATTCCGAGTTGCTATCAATGTCTATGGTACAAGCCCTTTGGGGTAACAACCTGCAGATTCTTTCATTCCAGTGAAAATGGAATTCCTCAATAAATAAATCACTGAAATTTCAAAAGCAAAAGTGTCCTCCTTTTGCATCTTGGTCAGATTTTCCATTTCCCTCCGAGGATTAGATTAGCATGTTAGTGCCGCGTCGCAGCAGACATGATGTACAGCTTCAGCATTATTTGATGTTATAAACTTTGTCATTGCTGCTGATTGTAATAACACATGTACGGGCTGTCTACATCATTTAAAAAGCCTGAAATATTTTAGCTTTTATTCTGATGTAAATCATACATCAGTCTTGCTTTCTCTTTGAGTCAGAAAGTAAATAACAGGCTCACTTGAAGTTAGTGATGTTAGCGGTTTGAGAGGTTTAACATGTTTACACTGTCTTTGTTCTGAGCATAAAACAAACCGAATGCAAGTCAAGGCCAAACTCTTCTACAAAGAATAGAATGTTTGAGCTGATGGCTCGTTTGTTACTTTCAACTGAGTTAACAGATTGGAAATCTTTATACCTCCTAAAACCAAGAAATCAGGTTTCTCTGACAAATCTCAATACGTACTATCTGCGAGCAATCAAACTTCCAAAAAAAGCACTAAAAAATAACTTTCCCACTCAAAACACTCACATGTTGCCACGAAAGCCAATCTTGATTAAGCTCATGAAAAACAAGACACCCCAAAATCTCCAAACTTGATTAAAGTGAACTTACAGGCTATCACTGTCACGACAACTAATACAAGTGACAATATAACAAGTGCAATTGTACAGCACTATGGTCTTCGTGATTTTCTCATAACCCACTAAGTTTTGTTTACATGTTTTTGACATGATTACTGAAACAAAACTGTTTTACTGTACGTATCGAACTGACCTCAAAACTAAAGACTGTACCCATTGTTCACTCAACGTGCATATATACTGGTGGTGGAGCCGGGTGCCAT